CTTTGGATTATGGGCAAATAACCCTTCTTAAGCGATTGTAACACTGTGGGTGACTCCAAGCAATCCCCTTTCCTGAAGGAGGAGCCTCTGAAATCAGCAGAAAAGGGGCTATAATCGCTTTGCTGATACCGGCTAAGTGCCTCAGCAGCATCACGGTATCTATCAAAAATATGACTCCAAATGGCCACTGCAAAAGTGCCACGGAAAGCTTATGCTCTAGGAGATTATCTTTGATGTTGGTGGTTTCATTTTTCTCAGTGGAGCAGAGAGAAAATTTATAGTCCCCCCAAATGCTTTTTCTAGCGCATCCCATCTCTTAATCCTTTACAACAGTTGATCAAGTTCTCGCCAGGGCTACTGCTGTGAGCAAGTTCATGAGTGGTTGAGAAATGAGGCAGTCTCAGGTCCTGTGGAGAGCATCCGTCCAGCCACTGAGCAGAAGTCCCACTGAAAGTAGAGTCATCTGGTGGGAGCGTGGCAGTTCCCAGTTAGCTTGGTCCATAGGCAAGGCAATCCAAATCGGGGCAGGTAAACGCTGCACGTCAGGTGGGGTACAAGGGGCTCCTGTACTCTCTCCACATTTATCTGTAGTGCATTAGCCGTTCATCAAACTAATCTGTGAAGGCTCTGAAGACAAGCAATTCTTACATATCACTAAAATCACACATGGCACTCCTGACAAATGGATTTAGGCCAACAGTGTGGAAATACAGACAACTTATTTTGGACGACCCACCTCTGGCAAACACCTGTGGAGGGGAAGACATCCAGGCACTTCCCTGGGGTGTGCTGCTTTGGCTTGAAGATGGAGCCCCTCCGTCCCATGTAGCTGGAGGGAGGGAGGGAGGGAGGCACAGAGGTGTCAGTCTGTCTTTCTTCCTCCTCCTTTCTTGGACAGTCCATCTGTCCCACTGTCAGAGAGCCACAGAACCAGAGCTCGCACATGCTGCTACGAAGAACCATGCCTTGGGCCACAAGAGGTGGATGGCAACGAACAAATCATTTCCCTGAATACTGAAGATGGGGCCCCTCTCCTGCTCTAATGCCAGATTCATAGTTTGGAAATGCATTTCTTCTGGGGAAAAGAATCTGGGTCAAAAAAGTAGAAGTGGACCAAGAATGTCTGAAGCTTCCCAAATTCAGGTTTGAGAGAATGGATCTGCCTGACAGACTGTACTACAGCATTTCCTGTCACTCTGCTTGAGTTGTCAGCCTAAAACAGCAGACTGTATGTTTCCTGGGATATGTTTCTTCCCCTAAACAACAGAAATGTGCCATATGTCACAGACTAAGGGATGTCTCCCTTGATGAGCACGTAGCTTGAAACTCAGCTGACCAGAGAAGCTTGTCATGGAAGAGCAAGATACAAAGCATAAACGGGGAAGTGGAGGTCAAAATAGACTGCTATCCTTGGGGGTTCCCCCCCCCCCCCCCCCAAAAAATCAGGAAAAGTTAGGCTGCTGCTCATAACATAAGCTGGTAGGGGAGAGGGAGGAAAAAAGCTTTAATTTACCTGGACACTTTAAAGAAAGCAAAGGTGCAAGATCACTGCATTTTTACACCCTTTGCATGACGTATGCAGGAGGCAGGATATAGCTGTAGTCCCTTCCACCTGAGCTTGAGATCTCCTGTTTGAGTACAGAGGCCCACATCCTTAGCGTGAACCTGGGCAACTGCTTAAAAGAAGGCAAAAAGCCATCTCTCAACGAATTCTTATGGAGCACTTTCATTTTTGTAATGAACTAATGGCAAACTAACAACATGGAGGGGAAGAAATGGAGCGGGTTCACTAACCTGTTCTGATCAAATCATTAAGCGCAGCAAGAAATCCTCTGCTGCTTCCATAATAATGTACACAAGGGAGGAAGGAATATGGCTGAACAAGCAGCCGTGCCACTTACTGCTCATTTCATTTCAAGCCCACTACTGCTGCGGCATCTCCTGGGTGCAAACAGCATGAATGCTTGTCAGACATGACGTTTCTAGATGGAGCAAGTGAAGTATCTCAATTTGTTTCTGTTGAGATTTCCCCCACGCTCATGGCTAAGCCCCATAAAAGCAGTGATCTATGCAGTAAAGGCGTAGGGAGAAAACAGAATACTTTTTTTTTTTTTCTTGGAGAAAGTGAATAGTAATTCTTAATACTTCTTTAAATAGACAGAAGCATCAGGTTTTTTTTTTTTTTCATGATGGAAAATCTCTAGGAGAAAAGGAATATAATGACTGATGGCTTAAGGCATTTTTATAGTATTTATCACTGACCAACAGATGGGATATCTTCTCTACATGAAATATGGCCTGCTGAGGAACTATGGGATAAAGCTGCTATAGGCTGTGCTCTACAAATGACTTTATGAGTATAATAGTCCCTCTTGACTTCCTAAAATGCATAGGTAAACTCATCATTCACCTCCACTGAAAGGATGTTTTACCATCTCCGTTATCTAGTTCAGAGGAACTAATTATCTTGCTAAATGAAAAGAACTTTGGTATGGCCTCACGTTTTGAGCTGTGCCAGCACGTAGTGGGGAGCGATGGCGGCAGAGAATTGGTTTTACTTCCCCGACTTCCTCCCCGCAGCTGTCAACATGGGATGGAGTCAAAAGCAGGCACTCGCTCTGGTTTGGCACTAGTGCAAGTGTTACAGCAGGTTTTTGTGACAGCTGGTCCTACCGTTATCTCTGGCCTGATGCACCTCTCTCCCTTCCCTGGCTTGGCAGGCAGTACAGGGAGATGGACAGCACAGTGCTTTTAGGGCACGAAGTGACAGAATCTGGTCCTGTATTTGCTTTAGTTATGCTTTGGGAACTTTCAGATTTGCTGTGATTATTTTCATGGGGAGGTCTTTGGATTTAATAGCATAATGTGTTTAAAAAAAAGTACAACTTTAAGTACAAACTTAAATTACACTAATAGAAATGAACCTTTCTGCTTAGACTTGTGCTTTTGCTTACAATTCGTGTTAGTTACTCTTTGTTTCTGCTTCTCAACTTTAAAAGTACAGCTCAAATTCCCTTCTAAATGAAAAACATTCTCCTTGCATAAGATCACAAAGAACTTAAAGAACAACTGATTTTTTTTTTTAATTATGACCTTTCCTGCAACTGCACATAGTTGTTGATCACGGTATTTTAAAAACAAAAAAAAACCAACTGTGGCTATGGTAGCTGAGAAGCAAGAAAAGACTAGGTAGTAAAGAGTAAAAACAACAATGTGTACTGTGTTTCAAAATGTTCTTGCACCTGGTTCTCATTTGTTCTCAGCTGAGAAACCAAGACAGTTTTTTTTTTTTTGTCAAAAAGAAAGCTCATTTCATCAAGGAATGATCAAACGGCTGGACTCCCCCAGCTTGGGCAGGGGTAGCTCTCGCTTTCAACTTCTTCAATCATCATTAGCTCTGAAAAGTGTCACATTCCATTTGTGCAAAGAAAACTTAATGAGTGGCCGCTGTAAGGGAATAGCCTGAAGAGGCTGGACTCTAAAAATCAAGCTGTTTACTTTGCACTGTCTCAACATTGCTTGTCTTTCTCCTTAGAAGGCAAAGCGAGTGGTAGTGTCCTTGCACCAAAACCCCACCTACATGCAAAGAAATGGCTTGATGCAGGCTCAGAGTAGGTAGCTAAAAGAAAATGTTACCTTTTACAGGAGGCTGGCAGTCACTGGCAGCCTGAGAACGTTCACCACCAGCATTTCTCCAAGTGAGATCAGCTTCCCAGGAGGGGTTGGAGTCACACTGGGAGCGCCAACAAGCAACTAGCAGTCGGGGCAGAGCTGGCCCAGGCTTTCCTTGGTTAGGATTTGACAAGGCTACAGATCTTGCACTAAATACAGTATTATGCATCTCTGTCTTGCTGATTCCAAAGAAGAATAAAGATATCCTTAGGTTAGACACAAATGTGTGTCCTACTAAATCCAGCAAAAATCACTTTTGGTAGTCTTCAATAAGGACTTCTCACCCACTCTCCACACAAACCTCTTGCCCACTTTCTAGCAGTCATTTTCATCCTGTATCCTCTTATGTCTGAGTAAGAGGAAAACAAGATTTCCTCCTCACCCTCATTCTTAATACTGTCTCCTTCAACCAGTTCTGCTACAGTTTACAGTGACAATTAAGATATATAGTAATATATGTTGTATTGAACCCAAGCTTAGCACTTAAGTATTTGTGTCACCAACTGATACAATAAGACGCTTCTCATTATTTTTATAAAATGTCACTATTTGCTATTCACTTGATTCTAAAAGAAACTACACATTTTATTTTTTTCCTCAAATGAAAGTAAAGGAAAGAAAACCTCACTAACAGAGAAAAGATAATGATCTTGGCTTTTTTTTTTTTCCCCTGAGGATAAAAAAATCTGGAAAGTGTCATGCAGCCACTAAAACATCTAAAGCTGGCAATAACTGAATTTAAATTGATAAGGGAGAAACAATTGTCCAATTCACTGTCTAGTCTGGTGCACAGGCAAGAGGAGGCCAAAAGGTCATTCAAGAATTGCTAAAAACGCCAGACGCTGAGCAAGAACAATTCCTTCTTGTAGGCTGGATGCAGAAGCTAGGTTTCTAGGGCTTCTTGGTTTTCCCTCTCTCTCAAAAGAAAGGAAGAAGATAATTCCTGACCTCTATTAAATATTCTGAATACCGATGTTTGTCTAGCATTCCACAGATGAACTATTAATTTGTTCTGACGCATCTCTCTACCACCTTCTGTCAGGTTGCGTGGTATACTCACTGCACATTGTTCCCAAAACTTTCGCTTATGTTTACAGTGGAGTGAAAACATCAATTCCATTCTTCTCACTTGTATTGATTTGCTTCAAAATAAAAGCTTTGTTATTCTTCCCCTTTCCTTGAGCTCCTGCCCTCATCTCCCAAAGCCCAAAACTTGCAGCTTTCTTCTGCTTCAGTGAAGCTGCAAAGCCTTTGTGATTCCCCGTATGAAAACGGACATTATTTGCTCATTAAAGCTAAGCTTTTGAGGACATGCCCCATTTACTGACCTCCACCAAGGGCCTGGGTTTGCGCTCTACTGCAAACCTGAAGTGGCAGAGTTCACAGTAGCTGGTGTTCGAAGAGGACAGCCAGTGCTCCAGGCAGCTGCGGTGAATCGTCCCCAGGGTCCCCGTACATTCGCATGGAGAAAGCAGGTCCTCCTGGCTGCTGCCCTCGTGGCAGATCCTGCACATCGGCCTGTCGTTGAAGGGGCTGCTGCAAGAGGAAAGAGAAGTTGCCAGTCAGCGTACGGGCTTAGGATCTGGAGCTTATCGCTCCTTCGCTCTTTGTATCTGCTTTGACTCTGCCTGTGGTGCCTCAGTGGATCTCATTCAAGTGCAGCTGCAGCGAAGTGGAAGGAAACTGTCCGGTTCTCTACAACCCGTCTGCTTTCAAAGCAGTCTGAGAACACAGAAATGGTATAAAGTTGTGCTGTGATGCTCTGCGTGCACATGTAACCTAGCACATCCTGCCTGGACATGGATAAAATGCATGGCTTTAAAAAAACAATTACAAGTAATGGAGGGAAAAGCTCTTTCAGGTTGTCACATCACACATGCAGAAGCAGTTAATAACTTCACTGTTCACAAGAGTGCAGTAGACCAAGTTTTCTTTGCTGTTTTGCTAAAATCCTGGGCTTCTTCAAGATCAGGGCAGATACGTTTTTCTAGGTTTGCACTGGTGAAATGGAACCAGATTTTGACCAAAATATCCAGTCTGAATATTGCTAAACCCTCAAGAATTGTCTATCTTGCTTTTATTAAAAACAACCCAAAGCAGCCTGGTGTTTCAAAGACTATAGTTCTGGTGTTTGTTTCACCCTGTGATCCCTCCTCGTACGCGAACAGGAGGAAGAGCTGCTCTCCGTCACTTGGGCGATGGCACAGGCAGTAGAGCTTGGCCGAGCGCCTCTGCTAGGAATGGACTTTGCCTGCCCAGGGAGGTGGCCTGGGAATGGGAGTTGGAATAAAACGTGCCACGGTGCAAATATGAGCACCAGCACGAGAGAGAAAGGGAGGCAGGGAAACGCGGCACTATGATGTACTCAGCGGGCACCAGTGCCTTTGGGATGAAACGTGTGCGAAGCATGGCTGGGGTGAGAGCTCACCAGTAGGGAGCGGGTTGCCCAGGCAGGACTCCTGAAGTTTCCTCCTCCCAACCAGGATAAATCATTGCAGCTGACTCACCTGACCAGGTTAATCCCTGCATAGCTTGCTTTACCTTATTCCTTAATTTAAGTGTAATCATGAGAACTTAATTGTATACCAACCGCGATCATTACGAAGTTAGAATGAGACTTTAATTACCATCTCACAGCAGTGCATCTTAAGCAAAAAGCTGTGCATCTTGCCTTTGATCACCTGTGCGATTTCAAAGCGTAATCTAACCCTGTGCCCTCCTCGTGCCCAGCCCGGCCCCGCGTGTGGCGGTACCTGTGCGTGGCCAGTGTCCGCACCACGGTGGAGAGCAGCTGCCCGTCCTTGGCCGACACTTGCATGACATAGTGTGGGCGCCCACCGGCTGGGCCGGGACCGGGACCACCGCCGCCGGTGCTCTTCCCCGTGGGGGCTGCCGAGCCCGGGCCGTCGGGCAGGACCTCGGGCAGGGGGCTGCGACGGCTCTCCGGCTTATGAGCGTGGGCTGCTGCGCCGCGACTTAGCAGCGAGGGGGGCTGGTGAACGCCGCTTGGCACAAATTTTCGGGAGGAGAAAAAAAAAAAACAGTGGCGGTAATAACAAAGGAGCAGGCACGTCTTGGTGTGCAACTCTGTCGTACTGCTCAGTACGAGGCAGGAAAAGAAGAAGCCAGGCCCCAAGTTCTCCAAAACCGTCTCAAAAGGGAAAGGAGGCTTACGATGATGTGTGTATCGCTGGAAAATAGCAGCCTCTACAGCGTACGCATCTCGGAAACGGCAAGGGGAGGGCTCTGCTGTGTTTTCTCTCGGTGGCCTCCTAAAGTCATGAGTGATGAATGGGAAGACCAACACCTTCTGCCTCCTTTCGCCCGCGTGCTGCAGGGGAGTATATGGTCTTTATCTGGCGCGCGTTTAAACTTGAAGCCTGCCTCTGTCCGCGAACATACAGAGTTACGTAGCGAAAGAGAAAGCAGCCGAAATCCCTCCGTGAAAACGTTCCGTTCCCGCTACGCGCCTTACGTCGCCCACCCGCGGCAGGGCACGGGCCCGGCACGTGACCCTGCGCCGCGCATCTGCGTGACACAACCCTCCTCAAGAACAGCCCGCGCGCAGTAATAATTTATGCCGCGAGGTGAGAGAGAAATCGGAGCTTGCCTATGGCTCCCTTATTCGCTTTGCTTTTTCCCCCATCGCTTAAGGCAACTATATTTTATACGACGTCTTGGATTGCGGTAGCTGCAAAGCACGGATTATGCTGGTAACAAAGAGCCTGTGAACATAAGTTGCTGATACCTTTGCGTGATGCTGCTCGCTCGGTGTGTTTCTAAGTTGGACGGGGCTGCGTGATTTAGTAGGCACAACGCAGGGCTACGCGCCTGCAGACCTGCTCTCCAGGTCTGTCACCAAAAACACATCGGGCGGGCTGATTGATCCCTCTGTAGAAGGGGGAGGAGGTTTGCTAGCACGCCTTGAGATGCTTGGGCGTAAAGCTACCTGTAAGTGCTGCGGCTTATTTTTAAGATATTGACATCTTGAAACCAGACTCGTTTCTGTCTGCCTTGCATTTAATCCTCAGAAAGACTGTTCTGCCTCAGACACCGCTCTTATTTGCGTAGCACTACTGCAATAGGAAACAAACCCTGTGTTTAAAAATTAATCGTTAACCCATTCTTTACACGGAGACGTTTCTCCAGGGCTTTCGGACGAAATCATGTAATTCGATCTCGCTGGGTTTGAGCAAATGGCAGCACGTCCTTTCTGAAGGCACCCGCACGGGTGGCTGTCTGTGGCAATAAGACTCTAGTAGGTGCAGATGTGATGGGGAGGCTGGACCACTTGTCCACTGCAAGCTTTCTCATGGGGGCTTATATTCTTAGAAAGGCGTCTGAAATAGGGAAACGCTTGGGAACGTGTTCTTTTTATGGGATTGCCTCAGCTACTTCTCAGACAGTGCATACCCCAGAGAGCAAACAGGAGGCTGCTGAAACAGCTTACAGTGGATATAATGTTCAGAGAACAGGGAAGGAAGGAGATCAGACCCTGGCCCTCGTCTACAATGAAAATGAAGCAAATGGCTGATTTCAAAACCATTAACACATAAAAGATGTAGACTTTGTAAAAGAGTAATAGCCACGGACTCTCCAAGGAGAGCACACAGGGACGTGAATATCAGCAGCACTTTAGTTTTAAAATCCATGCTGAGACTGTTCGACAAGAATATTCAGCTGCTGAGTAGCTGCTTCATTAAACTTAAAAAGCCTAGGCAGTACTGTGCTTACAGACCCATGATACAGAATTATATATTTCCCTTCTGGTTGCTTCACTGACCTCATTAAGTACAACAGCGGGTTTATCGTGGCGTATAAAGTGACCAGCCGAGCCTTTACAGACACATCCATCAGCCACTTGATGAGTTCAAGAGCATGTGCTGAAACGCTGGATGATGCAAATAAGCGCAGAACTTGAAAGCCCACAGACCTCTTATCATGTAGCTATATCCCAGCAATGATGTTAATTCAAAGTCCTGGGTATGGTGCTGCACTGATATCCCAGCTCAGCGTAGCAAGTATACATCACTCTTTTCTGTCCAACTTCTTCGTGAGAAAGTTGGAAGTTATAACCGCATTTTTTCCCGATTTCAGAAGAATCATTTTCACACAAAATCAGCGTATGCCCTTGCAAGTAATACAGCTACGGAATTACATGATGTGTGATTTAATACCAAACCTTGTGGTAAATAATGAAGAGGAATTGTCCTGAGAAGCACACAGCTCCTAAGCAAATCTGAAGTCAAGCTGACTATTAGGAATTGTAAATCTTTATGGCCACAAAATCCCAAAGGCAGTATTCACCTATACGTATGCACTGCGTTCTGTCTGAATGTTTTTCACCCCAAAGAGGTGGAAATCTGTCACAAATCTCTTAATAGAAGAGCAAGAACGAAGAACAAGCAGGAGGCTGCGTTCAAATGGTATTTAGGGAGAGCTGCAAAACCAAATGGGATAAACCAGAATATCAAGGGTTATTTCAGATGGCAGGAAATTCAGAGAGGGGTGCCTGAATTTGGCATGATGGATGTGTGTTCAAAGAAATGTAGTAATTAGCTTTTTTTTTTTCTTTTCTCTGCTGCTACGCCCACTCACCTTGCACAGCTCTTGTCTATCCAAAGTCTTAAAATAGACTACCTTACTACTGCAATATTTAACCCAGATCTTTTCCCTATTCTAGTCTTTCTGCTTTGCCATTGGTACCAGCCTCTGTCTCCCTCTTCTCACTTTCAGGATATGAAATCTTCTGATGGGAGGTGGCTACTGTATTTGAGAGTCACCCTCCAGTTTCAGCATGATGTTTTTCAACCATCACTGATAAGTGTATAGTGTGCTTGGTATATGCAACTGGCATATTTCTTCTCTTCACCTTTTTGTGCAATTTACCTTTGTTAGCTGTATGATAATCCTGTTTTCAGGGCTGTTTTATGACCACAAACTGAAAAATTCTCGGATAAGAAGAATTCTTTTTCAGTGTATTATACTTCACAGGTATCAGAGTAAAACAGGAGCTATCGTACGTATTTTGTTTGTACTATAAGTGTGAAATTTCAAAAGAAAAAAAAAAAGCCTTCAAATTAGTTGTCACATTCTTGGAGCCATTCTGTGTCTTCAGAAATTTCACATTTCTGGCCTGAACGACATCAGCACAGGTTTTTCTTACGGAAGGAGAAAATGGAACAGCATTCACTGATTAAATTCTCCTAGTTATGACTTACTCCATGCACTTCACTCCCTGGCTTATGGGCTAAATACCCCTCAGAGAGCACCGCAAGTCTCACATATGTTCTTGAGCATTACTTTTGCATTTAGTGCTCTGGTTTACCTGACAGATGTGAAAAGCACAAGTTTTGTAATAACGCGTGTACTCCCATGGTTAATTTGCACAGTTAAGAGATGCAGATGATCGCAGTAGCTTGCACTTATGTATGTGATTTCCTCCAAAGAACTGCAGGAACTATGCGTACAGTTAATAAATTAAACCTCATCGTTGTCACTGTGAAGCAAGAAACTACAGAAGGGAACTGAGGTGTAATGTACCTAAGTAAATTGTCCAAGGTCACACTGGGGCTACAATAGAAAACTCAAGTGCAAGCTGTATCCTTCTGCCCCGAGTAATTTACAGGATGCTATTCCAGCAAATGTTACCAATAGCTTTTGCTCTCTTTTTTTCTCCTGATCTGCTAGCTACCACCCCCAGTGTTTAAAATAAAAGGTCAACATCATCTTATTATCTTGCTCCTGTCTGCTCTCCTTTTTTATATATAGTTCCAAAATCCAAACTGCTTTGGCAGATAACAAAAGAAATCTGGAAGTCTCTTTCTTCTTGACATTATATCAATGAATGCAAATATTTTGGAAGAGTGGCTCTTAGCCCCACAAACAGATGCTACCAAACGCTTGCAATCTTCATTTCGTAGACAAACTACTTCTGGACCTAGTCAGCTCCTGATTATTGCTAACAATACTCACCCACTGAGCTCAGCAACCATTTCTTTATGTGCTATCAAGTATTTATTTTTCCTTCTGAGAGATTTATAACTTCTATATCAAGAGAAACCGTAAGACCCTACGAATGCCAGTGAGCAAGGCACGGTTATTCCTACTGAATTAGACTCAAACTTAAGGAGATGTCAAAAACTAGCATTGCTAGCCTGGAAAGGAATTTCAGGGAGAACTCATCTGCATTTACAATAAGCACCTACAACTGCAATCCTTGTTACATTTTTGCCCATTGTGCATGAACTGACCTCATTTCTAAAAATCCATAAAGCATTATCATGCTGATGAATTTAATTACCATAGTGGATTTTTTTTTCTTTAACCAGAGGAGATTTCTTCTGAGGTTTTGTTGAAACCCTAAGTGGTTTTGATTCGCGTGAGACAAACAGATCTTACACGTCAAGCAGTGCGATGCAAAAGTTACACAAATATTGACACAGAGCTCTTGTGTGAATTGCCTGCTTGTCCTTCTTTTTCAGCACCTTTATTAAAAATAGCACATAATGCATCTGTCATAGTCATACAGTTTCAAACTTGGCAATCAATTCACCTTTCTTATTCCATACTCCCATGAGTCGCCCTATTAGTTTCAAGAAATGCAACTCAAGCATGCATCAGTCAGCTTCAAGACTTGAAAGCATGCACAAAAACCACTACGCTGTTTTATGGGGAAAGTTCTCCTAGAAGTATGGCAGCCACTATTAGAAAATAGTCTTTGAAAATTTATTTTTGCTTCCTGATCGTGTATTTTCACACGCCAGAAGGATTATTTCCTTCTCCACTCTATCTGTAGCCAAGTGTTCAATATAAAATTACAACCTGGTATGGAGTAGTAACGGTAAACTAGTTGTGCTAAGGCTAAGAGTGGAACCACGTCACATACTGACTTTGTGTGACTTGACAGGATACATAGCCTACAGAGCTCCATGACAGTCCCTTATTTTGCGTGACAGATCGTGAAGGTACAAACCAATCCATTTTGCACAGATGACTCGGTAAAAATTTGGCACTCAAAGAACAGTGATTTGTGTTCATGGTCTTTTACCATTATAAAAATCACAGATTTGTATTTCAGGACAGTTTAATAGATTTGGAGCACAGATAAAATTCTATATCAGGGACTAAGCGCATTTCATCACGTCAGTGTAAAGCTGAAAGCCTAATTTAGATGTGGCTAGACAGTGGGCTAGGTCTTTAAAGACTCAGTACTTTTTGTGTCTAGTTTACTGCCTTCCCAGGGGATGGCTAGTTGTGGTCAACGACCACAGCAGGAAAATATGATGCCTTTTTCTGGAAGGCTAAAGGAGTTAATCACATCTCCGGGTGACTGACAAGGCAGTTAACCACATCTTGTTACACATGGTGATAGGGACAGCCATAGTTTCATGTGTCCAGTTGGAAAGTGTCCTCCTGCAATCTGGAAGAAAGGTCCAGTTCTGGGGGAAGGGCCTTCTGCTTTTGTTTCTTCTAACAATCCTAGTCAATTGCTTAGATTGATTACTTAATTCTAGTTAATTTCTTAGAATGCAAATTATTGTATTCTAATGCAAATTACTAGAGCTGATAGTTCTCTGATGTAGTTATCGCATGCCATGTGAAACACGTTTTCTTCACTAGCTTTTAAACTTATCAACTAAGTTCTACGTTTTACTTTGTTTTTGGTAATGGAGAATAACAATTCATCTTTCCCTCGTGTAGTTTTAGACAATATTATTGTGTCATCTAGCTTCTTAAGACAGAGTCCCAGCTTTTTCAGTTTCTTACTGTAGAAAACGTCCCTCTTTGAGTTATGCTGATTTTGCATGATCCTTAGAGAGATAAACCAGTACTGCACAAAAGATCTCTGCTTTAATGAAACAACCGCTTTAGCTATCGTGTGACAGAAGTTAGCACAGGCTGGCAACCTCCATGAGGAGCTAAATACCCAGATGGTTATGCCAGTTGTGACTAAGCTACATGCCAGTACGGCTATGCCAGTATGGTCCAGGGACTCAAACAGGCTTTGTAGTGATGGGATGACTTGCTCTATGGCCCCAGACATATTGGTTTGTCCCTCAGATTCACCTTCCCATTGAGAGCACAAAAGAAGAACCAGAATTCCCAACTGCAGTGTACTGTGAAACTTCCTCATGTTTTACCTGTTAAGAAATGATCCTGGAGCACTGTGAAGGTGGCATGGTCACAGAGGTTCTGAAACAGCATGAGGAAAGTAATTTGTAATTCTGGAGATCTGTAACTTCTCAAGTTTGTAACTTCGACATTCTTCCTAAGGAGTTTTCTGTATGCCGTTTCCAAGGCGCTCATAGCTGGAATTGCTGTTTTAAGCATACCTGGCCTCTTCCCTCCAAGCTGCGCTATAGAGAGCTGCATGGATCCCCTGCTGATCCCAAACCCACTGAGGATTACTCTGGGAAGAAACTAACGGAGTAACGGGCAGTTACAGCTATCGCCCTAGGTGTGCTGAGCTGATGTGGGGGACAGAACCATACTTCTTTCAGCACATCCCTTAGAAATCAGCCAGCAGCAGTTGGCAAGGAAGGCTCAGGAGCCTCGTGCCAACAGGATGCCTGTCGGGCATGCAAGGCCTCGGCTCCCCACCTGCCTCCGCCTGCCCTTTTTGGCCTGCATTTGGCCTTGCCTTGTCTCTTCTGCGCTCGTCCCCCCTCGATCCCAGCTCATCGCCCACTCGTGCTATTTCCTTCTCGACTCTGATCCGATCTTGTTGCATGACCTTATTCCTGTGCGTACCAGGGTTGTTCTTTTAAGTAACTAAGCCTATAAAAGCAACTAAGACCAGCATTTATAATGGGAAATGCTCTCCTACAGCCTCAGTAGACATAAGTGTCAGT